GGGAGGAGGGAGGAGGGAGGAGGGAGGAGGGAGGAGGGAGGAGGGAGGAGGGAGGAGGGAGGAGGGAGGAGGGAGGAGGGAGGAGGGAGGAAGACATAGAGAGAGTGGAGATAGGATGTCACGAGTCCGTCATGGAGGGCGAGTTACTCGTTAGTTCAGTTGTGTTGGTGCGCAGGGGGCGCGAAAATCTTGGTAATGAACTTGAAGCATGGCACATGTCGTCTATGAATGTGATCGTGGTTGACTTGGTTTGCTCCAGATGTTCGCTGATATTCGTGCTCTCTCCATCTTGCGTGGAACCCTCGGAATTCCCTTCTCCTTGGCGGCCCACGAGTGCAAGCCTGGACCTGGACACCCTTGCTCGCGCGACCACCATGGCCAGGACGGCGATCACGATCACGACCACGACCACGACCAAGATCAAGATCAGGACAGTGGCTCTGAGACCTTCGGATATCCCACCGTCCTTCATGCCTAGATGGCAGGAGCATAGCTGGGAAGGAGACAAGTAGTTCCTAGCAGCCTAATAAATGAAGGATGAAGTTGCTATCCACTAGAGACATGTTCATGTGATGACCTTATTGACATTCACTCATATTCATTACTTTCACGTCCTCTCCCTCACGGTCTCTTTGCTTCCGCCCGCACGCTCAAGGTCTCCTGGATATCGTTGGAGGCCAAATGGAGTCTGTTGTCCCAAGTCACACTTCCTCCTCCTGCCTCCTCCTCCCCTCCTCTCCTGCCTCCTCCTCTCCTCCTGCTGCTCTCCTCCTCTCCTCCTGCTGCTCTCCTCCTCTCCTCCTGCTCTCCTCCTCCTGCCTCTTCCTCTTCACTCTTCAATCCCCCCTCCCCCCCCTGGCCTCCCCCCCCCTCTTACCGGATAGCATGGGCTCGAAACCTGACCCTGAGCCCGAACGCGCCAGCCCCGGGAGCTTCTCCTTGCGAAGAGACTCGAAGGTCGAGTCGAGCATGCTGTCGAGATCCTGAGGTCTCACGTGAGCTGGGGGTTGAGCTGGGGGTTGAGCTGGGGACGACTTGCCTTCTTCGACACCCTCCTTCCTCCCTGGCCGACGCTGAACTTGTCGTTAGATGGGAGCTTGCTGCTCTTGGGCAGCTGGGTGGTGAACTGATCGACTGCTGACTTGGAGATAAGGATGGGTGAACGCGGAGATGACTCGCGACGAGCTCGGGGCTTGTGGATGTGAGGCTGTGAAGAAAGAGTGAGAGGAGAAAGGG